AATAATGAATAAATAAATAAATAAATAAATAAATAAAACAACGTTATATTTCTTACGGAGAAGATTTTGATTAACGGAAAAGGTTTTTAACACCACAGACTCAAATCTTGGATATCTTTGCCTTTGGGATATTTTTTTTGTATAAATCTTAAATTGCACATGTACAAGGAATATGTTTGTGAAAATTGGTATAAAAGTGAAATACTGATGTGTTTCTAGACACATTATGTGAGTTTTCTACCAAACTGTTATTTTGTCTTAAAGGTACATCTTTAATAACCCTTTCTGCAAGTGACCAAGACGATGGAGACATAATCACATACAGCATTGCTTGTAAGTATTCTAGATTTGACCATGTTGTTTTTATACATTTCTACTAAATACAGTATGCATTCATTGTACGTGTAACTGACTGAAAATGTAAAGCATTCAAAACATAACATCATAAACTCGGTGGTGCTTTAGTCTTCGGTGTTCAAGAAATTTCGTAATACGTATGTGTTTGGCGATTGGTCGTCACAATTTACGTAATAGCCGTTATTAAAGTAATTTTGAAATAAACATAATGGAACAAAAATAAATATGGTGTATATCAATGCATTTTTGTTTTGTTTATTACATGCATTCAAAATCATTTATATTTCAGCTGGAGATACAAACAACGACTTCACAATTGCGATTGCTGAGCTCCAGGTCAATACAGGGAAAACACTTGATATGTCAAAGGCATCTACTTATACACTTATCGTACATGCCATTGATGATGACACTACAAAACAAACTGGATCAGCTACATATACTATCAACGTAAAGTCTGACTGTGGTAACGGTGCACCAGCTTTGGTCGCAACCAGCATGACCATCTTAATGGCACTTGTCGCATTTTTGGTCTAAATTCAAAAGGCCATGTTTGGTACTGTCAAAATATGTAAAATATAAAAAAATGTATATTTAATCAGTTGCCTTAAAACATAAAAAACAAAAATAGTTCGTCTTCAATCTTTCGATAACTGTGTTTAGGTCAAACCCGGAAAAAAACCAAACCCGCGTTATTGTGATGGCAGCGACGCAGACACTTTAGCAACGACTGGAACTGTTATTGACTTTAAATACATTTTAAAAGGTTATCAGAACATCACCATTGTCCATTGCAATTGACCCTTGTTTTGACATTCCTATTCTCTGTCCATGAACAAAACCTACAGCCAGCTACACGCTTAAATATTTACTTTAATGTTAAGTCCATGTATTAGACTTTTGCTTTGAATTAATGTTCGAAAGTCTACGCCTTTTTTGTATTTCTTGTGTGATTTTATCTTTTGTGTGTATGTCTGTAATTGTTTGAGCAGCGAAATGATATCAGTGATGAGATACAAGCGTATTGATATTTGATTCATTTTGCTATTGTTTAAATTCAAAACTTGTATTGTAACGTTAACAGGTAAATAGAAAAAATACCACACAACCATGTAATGTACGATAGTTCTTTTATTACAAATGACATAATTACTTTCTAAATTTGACTTTCACTCCGATTGACATTTGTTATGTACATCAAGTAATCATTCAAATTGATTGTACCAAATGTGAACATTACATGTGTACCATTTTGTGTATGAATAAACGAAACAATACAAAATTTACATCTTACCGTTATATTTACATTCTTGTTTAGAAGTACTGTTTGATACACTACTTCTGCTATTAACCAAATGCTTTAGCGTGAAATTTTTCAGCAATGTTTTGATTACCATCTTAGAAATGATTTTGATATTTCATGTTTAATCAATTTGATTAAATGCCATTTAACGTTGTTTTTTTTTACTGATTTTGTATTGGTTATGACTTAGAGAAAAGGAAGACCAAACCGTTTGGATAGGCAACCTGTTTTCCACATTTTCACAACCTCATTTATGTTTACTAGTCTAAAATTGACACAGTAGCTTGCGTTTTACCCATTGCTGTAGGCAACTGATTGACAACACCATTTCCTACCCCCTGGATGTCCCTATGTTTAAAGCAGCACGCCTCCAGATTCACGAAATTTTCATGAAAATTTTGAAAATGTATTTAAATATATAATATTGTAAAATAACCAAAATGCAGCAATTTACACTTTATAAATGGCACTTTCAACCCACGTAAATTACCAAAAAGTGGCCAAAATGTGTATAAATAGCCCTTACTGCGTTAGTAACGCAGTAAAAATATAGTTGTAAATACTGAAAAATCAGTCATTAACCGCACATAACATGTAAAATATTACTTGAATCTTGAATCATTTTACTTTTCCTAAAATTGTAGTACATATTTCTCAGGTTTGATTTTATTGAAATATTTTGACTCATCTGGAGGCATGCAGCTTTAACCTGGTGAGCTAATATCCGTATCTACAACTAATTCCACAAGTGCTTAATAAGATATAAGTCGGGTGACCGAGCTGGCCAGTCAAGGCGCTCAATAACCGCCCTGTGCAGGTAAACCTGGACAACCCAGATCCTGTGGGGACGCGTATTATCGTCCATTAAAATGAATTGATAATCCACTTCACAGACATAAACCCTGTTTTAACATCTCATCGGTGTACCGCTGGTAATTAAATGTACCTCTGTTCAACACAAGGAGAACAGTCCGTCCTAGCCGTTGCCACCCAACACCATTACAGATACATGCATTAAAAGGCCGTGTTCAACTATATTTCCGGCTAAAAACCTTTCCCAGGTATTCTCCAGACTCTTGTACGTCTATCTGTAAAGTCTGTACAAGACACATTAGTGAAGAGAACATGTCTCCAGTTTTGTCTGTTCAATATAGCATTCTCTTTCGCCCATTCCAAGCGGGACTGGTGGTGATGGCGAGTAAATTGAATTTGATACATAGTCTTCTTAATCGCACATTACCTTCATGCAACTCTCTTCGCACCGCCTGAGTACAAAAATTGACCCAGAAACAAAGAACATTACAAAGAGCAAGCCGTCCTCCGTGGGCATGGATAATAAAGAATCTATTATGTTATGTTATTCTAATTTTGGGGTTAAAAATGTCACTATTAGGTTAAAAAACGATCAAAAGAAGTTCAAAAGAATAACCCCACAATGTAGGTCTAGTAAGAACGTCCGTCCATGAGTCAGTGCACAAAAATGGATCCCGTGGATCCCGTGATAACGCAAAAAGTACTCAAAATATTTTTATGAAACTTGAAATATGGGTAAATGGACTTCTGGCAATAATGCACTTTTTTCTTCCTATGTTAAAAACTGTGGTTGCTATGGCAACAACTAAGGTATAAATTAATAACAAATATAATACTATTTGTGATAACTCAAGAAATATTGAAAATATTTTTTATGAAACTTGAAATATGGATATGTGGCTATACCCCGTATTGTTTCTCTAGATATTTTGGTGATATTCCATTACGTTGATGTTAATAAATCTTCAGAAAGATTGTTGGCGCTCTGGACGTGTGCTTGTAAAGTTCACAACACCAAAACTACCAGAATCACCCCCTTGAATTTACAAATTTCATGAAAGAATGGTGTTTATTCTTTATTTCTTAATCTACTTTCAACTTAAATATGCGTTTCTTATCATCACTCACTATCATTATTCTAGCATATATTCTAGCATCTTAATTTCAAAAGGTATCTCCTCTTCAGTATAAGAATTTTGCTTTAAAAATATACAATCAGGGATGTTTAAAGGTTTGCCCTCTATCTGTCAGCCAATCCGTCTGTCTATTCGTCCCTATAAACTGTTTCCTGAGATCAATTTTAATGAACTTGGAAGTTTTCTAACAAAGTTACTTAACCCATTACTTCATGAGCATTTTGTGAAAAATGGCTGTTTTCATTGAAAAGTCTCCCGTTACAAGTTCAAATTGCTATAATACTATAAAAACTGCTTCAACACTAATCAAATTTGGCACAAATGTTGACTGGACCATTGCCCTTGAAACAACATGCTCAGACTTAAATTTTCTGTTACCATGGCAACGAGGGGACATCTCAAAATTGCCGAAAATCACTATTTTGCGTTGATCAAAATTGATTTCAAAGTGCTGCAACTTCTCAATGGATTGAGGTAGAGGCAAATGCTTTTCAGCGTTGGTTACACGTTACCTTATGATCAATCTGGGATCATTTATGGCCTCTCACAAGTCCAAAATTTTCTTGGCGATGAGGGGGACTCCGCCCCCTTCAACCCCCCCCCCAAACAGAAGGGGGCACATCCCCCTTCTGGCAACCCTCTGATGTATCTTTTGGTTGGGGGCCGCGCCGAAAAAGTGGTCACTTTTTTAACAACATTTCTCAAACAAAAACAAGTGTTGGGGCCTAAATAAGGCATTTTTTCACCATTAGAGACAACAAAAAATGGAGGGAGGGGGGTGAAAAAGTCGTGTATATCGCGTAATGGGTTAAATAGCATAATTGAATGACCACGATCCTTCAGAATATTGGTGGGGTTTTAACTGGTAGGGGACTTTTGTATTGCTTGCAATACTTGGATAATTGCTTATTAATTTTAATTTGAAATATTTAGATGGTAGTCTCTCAAATTATTCCAGTGGAAGTCTGAATTTGTAACAAACTATGCAACTATTAACAGGTTCAAATCATAATTCATAAATCCTTTTATGTTTTACAATTATCACGGTATATATTTAAGTTAACACAAAACTTTGATAGATATTGTCTGGCATGGCAGAGCCAGACGTCTTTATTGTCTAAGAATAGATTATGATATAGTCAAATATTTAATACGCTCTCATACAGTAAACAATTGTAGCCAACGTTAAAATGTGAAAAAACCCACAAAACTGTCCTATTCATGACTGACGATCATGTCTGGAAATTCAGAAGGTATGCTTCGTCAATAATTCAGCTGTAAACCGTATTTGATTGTCCGTAGATCTAACCAGGAGAAATTTCCGTAGATCTAACCAGAAGAGATTCCTCGGCATCTAGCTATTCGTTGTTAGATTTATTATTTTTTCAAAGTAAATCCAAACGCTGATGTTGGACAATATATTATTAGCATCAAACAAGTTAATTCTATAGAAGTTGGTTTTTTGCGCAGAATTCCTAGGACTAACATAAAGGTTTACAATCCTTTCCTTATTTATTGAAATCACTTGCCCTCACCGCCGTGGATTCTAATCCCACCAGGGACTTTGGATTCTTTTTTGTGAGGAAACTTTACAACTAGCTTACGAAAGGGTCAGTGGTTCTATTCAGGTGCCTGTTCGTGCCTGAAATAAAAAGAATGGGTATCTTGGTTTTTCTCCACCAATTAGGCTGGAAAGTCGTCAAATAATAAACTTTACATTGTCGGTTTGACCAAAAACAAACAAATATCTTTTATTAATCTATCATATCAAATTAAGACGTAGCTTACATAATGATATATCAGTAAGTCTTTACAAACTCTTATTACTTTACATCCGTTTGTTTAACTCCCTGCTATCTATAATTGCTAGTAAAGCTTTTGTATCGGCTAATTTTGACAGAAAGGCAGCATGGTCTAAGTCTGTGGACAAATTGTCTTTTGTAATGACTATCCTGTTTAAAAAAGGATGGGTTAATTTTATATTCTATCTTACGTTAAACCATTTTTAAATTGCAATTGAAGTTAAACCCTTTCTGCAAAGCTTTAATTAAAACAATATTTTATTTGTAATCTTTTCATTTAAATTCAGAAGGAAGTTAAAAAGGTTTTTAAAACAACTCCCCAAGTTAATAAGTCATCTAACGTATTTAGGAATGAAAGGATATTAGTATCCGTCAAAAGATTGTACATCAAAACAGCATATATGAAAATTTAGAAGATGTTTAATTGTAACATGATGAGATATACCATTGTTACACAACATGAAAAGAACTGGAGCCATTGCAATTATTATATCACCTGTTTTGCCATGGTTCTGCGCAACTTCTGTCTTGTCCTGTACACTTGAAAAATTACTTTACTAATGATTTGTATTGTGGAATAAAGGGGACATAAAAATCTCCATGTTGCATACCATTTTTATTTATAAAAAAGTGACAAATTTAGATCTATCAACTTATCAATTCCAGTGTGACAAGAACAGAGTGAGCGCAGTGGCTTTCAGTAACAAAGCCTGGCTATAAGACAGAGTTCGTGATTTATCCTAATTAACTAAAATGATTGACACGTCTTTTGGGTGAGACTTAACAAACTGAAGTCCCTTTTAATGGTGCTGCACTCCTTGTACTTAAAAGTACAATTTGTTTCTCCCGGAAGTGTGTTATTTCTTTATTCATTGCACTTTGCTAAACATTTTAAGGTACAGTCTACTGGAGTGAGTCGCCAGGTTGGGTTTCCTGTGGCGATCATAGTAAACACAAAAGTTGAAAGGCATAATATAGGCATAATATAAATATATAATATATAATATAACAGCAAATCAACGTTACTGGTTGGTTCCAGGAATGGATTCGAGGGTGTGTTTATAAGCTTATAGCTGTCTACAAAATCGAACTAAAATAAATTCTGTACAAACTAAATCAGCAAATCATGTCATTCTAACCT